AGCTTTCCTGCTATAGCAAATGCAAAATACTTGACTTCCCAAGGGTTGTCTTTGTATAATTATTACTGTGTAGAAGCTCCCAAGCACTTTTTTTTTTTTCCTTTTTTTTCCCCCAAGTGACCCTTTTTTGAAAGGAGAGAGTTTGTCTGTAGAAGACAGTAGGAGTTGTCATCCATAAAGGGTCCATCTGCCTAGACCTTAGAGTACACGGAACTCCTACAGAAAAGGGGCTGTTCTCTCTGTCAGTTTATAAATCTCTTCTTTGAACAAAAGGAGGTTAGAAAAGATAGAATTTGGATTGCCAACCCAAACCCTTCCCAGTCATCCTAGAACAATCTCTCTCAATGAAAATCCTACTGAGAAATAAGAGAAAGGAATAAGGAGAAAGGGTAGCATCTCTTCTTCAGTTTATCTTGAGTCAAGAGGAGACGGTGTGTGCAGCAAGGTATTGAAGGGAAACGCAGGCTGTTCTGAGGCCATTTCAGCCAGCCCTACAGCATGCCACTCCTTCCACCAATCCTAACCTGCGTACTACCGGGTTACAGCAAACCACATTTACCAGGTATGGTAAATAAGTGGGTACAGTACAGTACGGTGTGGAAAAAAGTGCTGATTTACCAGTGAGCCCCAGTTGTTTGGTTTTGTTTGTTTGTTTGTTTGCAGTCTGTCTATTACATGCACTTCCTCACAGTGTGCAGCCACCCATACAGCACATACGTAGCAATGACAACAGACTTGTTTTTCACATATCCCTTAGGTTTAGCGGCTTCCCTCCTCCCCCCCAGGGACCGCAGCCCGCAAGACTCCCGCGGGATCCCCCTCTCTGTGCTGAGCTGGTCCAGGCGTTCTGCAAGAAAACTTGGTTATTCTCCCGTTCCCGCTGCCGGTTCCTTTGGGCTTTTCCGGCAGCGGCGCCCTCGGCGGGAGCGGAGATGACGGGCGGGATTGTGGAGAGGGAATGGGGAGCGGGGCTGTGGAGCGGAGCAGGTGTGAGGAGCTGGGATGTAGAGAGGGGCTGCGGAGAGGGGCTGAGGAGCAGGGCCGGGCAGGCGCTGCGCTCCGGCACCCCCCGAGCCCGTCGCGGCTCCGGCCGTGGGTGCCCGAGCCCTCCGGCCCGGGGGCCGCTTCTCTGCCCCCCGCTCGCCGTTCCAGGCCGGCAGGCTGAGCATCCGCGGGCTTCCAAGCGAGGTTTCTTTGCACCACCCAGGAGACTGATTTCTCCTCTCTCTTCGTTCCAGCGCTTGGTTGGAAGTCCATTGAACTTTCTCGGGCTGTGCATCCAGCACGACGCCCCTAAGCCCTAGATAGTGTATTTTTGAGGGAAAAGGGGAATACGGCGCTATGAACGCTCATCTCGCCATTCCAGAGCAGAATTGCTTCTTCGACCCCTAGTTATCTAGTAACAAGGGGAAAATTTCCTGAAATTAGACCACTGCAGGAACTCTGGTTTTAGTCACAGCTGTCATCCGAGAAACAAATTTCCAGGCATTTTTAATCTAATTCACTTATTTTTAATGTAACTGAATTAGAAAATGCGATTAAGCATCACAGAATCTTCGGCATTGAGCCTCCCTAACCTTTAGTGAAACACGAAACAGAGAAACTTAGAAGTAAGAAGAAATGGTGAAATCGTCTTTGTGGATTTGGTGCCACCGTTACTTGGCAGGAGGATTAGAGGCACAAAAAAGCTCGAGGCGGGGGGGGAAATAAAAAGAAATGACCTTTTCAGCAGAAATTCTTGCCTCGATTCTTTGGCAGTTGTTTCAGGGAGGAAATTGAAAGACACCGGAGAGGTGTTTGCAGAGCTGCCCTGCCCTGCCCTGCCGGCGCCCCCCGCCCATCGGCTCCCACGCCCACTTTTCTCCTGCTGCCCACAAATCTCTCCGAGGTAGGGAAAATTCGAAGGAGAAAATTGGAAGGAGAAAATTGAAGGCTTGAGACTATCTGGTCTTCTCTTGCTGCGGCAGTCACTCCATCCCCGAGATTTGGGCTTGAGCACTTCAGCAGGCAGCGCTGATCCCCCCCGTTCAGCGCACGGGGGTGTAACGTGCGCTCCCGCCGCGCTCCGTGGGCGCCAGCTCAGCGGGTGCCGGCGCTGGAATCCGCGGAACAATGGTTACAAGCACCTACGGTGCTGGGATGCACCGAGCGGTGCTTGGATGTGGAGGCTCATCCGTTTCTCACGAACACACTTAGTTTAAACGAAAAAGCAAAAACTAGTTAACACCCCGCAGCCTGCTAAAGTCAAACTAAAGCCTGCAGACAGGCTTAGGGGTTTTGGTAGGGGTTTTTTTGGTGTTGCGTTTGGTTTATTTTAAAGACACTGCAGCGCAGCCCATGCGTGTGCGGGCGCTGCGGCTTGAGAGAGCAGCGGCCCATCCGACGGCGCGTCCCGGGCGGGAACCCGGGCGGGACGGGCATGTGCCGGGACAGAGAGGGACCGGCTCAGGCTGGAAACAGCGGCGAAGAGCCAGGAAAAGGAGCGTCACCGGGGCCGGGGAGGGTACTCCGCGGGGAAGCATTCGGGGAGGGAGTGAAGGGCCCCGAGGGGTGCAGTCACCTCCCCTCCCGGCTGCCCTGTGTGAGGGATGGGGAGTTCGGTGCGGTGTGCCCGCCGCAGCGCCCGCCAGCCACCTGCTCTTCTGTTCAGCGAGGCGGGATCACGGTGCCGACGGGGCCCTGCTCCCCGCAAAACTAACTCATTAATATAAATCAAATAATGGCGCGGGGGGGCAGAAGGGGAGGAAGAAGGGTATGGTGTGCGGCTGCTCATGAATTAAATATAAGTCTCTGACTGTCCTGAACAAAGCGACCGTCCCCTCGGGAAGGGTGACGTCTCCCCAGTAACGTGATTGCTTCTTCGGAAGCAGAAACGTGTAAACGCTATAAAACGCGGCGGCGCGGCGGGCAGCTCAGAGCGTGCAGCGGGACGGAGCTCTCCTCTTCCTCCTCCTCCTCCTCCTCCTCCGCCGCCGCTCCGGCAGC